AAGCCGGGTAACAAGTGAGAATTTGTAGATAATGGTTGACCCTTGACCTGAAGAGGTTACGATAGTAGCAGTCGGGGAAGCATACTCTCGGGAGTCTGTTCCATAATCATTTTTCCAGAATGGTTCATTTTCATGGATAAACTCGAATCAAGTTTCAGTTAGACATTTTTTCCAGCAGTTGGTTGCCATTTCTTTCTGCAGTAGACCAGTTTAGTTTTCTAACATTTGACGTCAGTGACGGACGTACACTTTCACTCAATCAGTTATGTGCCATGCGTGATACACGCTTTGGCGATCATGTATCTTTCGATACATGACTGACGAGGCAGATTTTTTCCCGCAGTAGATTACCATTTCTCTCTGCAGTAGGCCAGTTGCCATCCAAGATTTGTTCTGCTATTTACTGGGAGGAGAAGAATACGTAAGGGTATTAGCCCGTAAGTGAATGTAATGGATTTGACTGGAATTCGAACTCGGCTCTCCGATTACTTAATCCGAGCCGCTAGCCATTACTCCACCGTGACTTGGGGCTCCTTGAACTTTAACAGATGTGGGATCTTATTCGCTACCAGCTAACAGATTCGAGAATTCAACAGCTAAAATAAAGGCTATGAATATCTTCTGGCGAGTTTAACAAGTCCATACAGCTGGAGATTTGGTCGCTGCAAGACTCCAAGGAAATTTTAATATTTGACCAATTACAGGGGAATTTCGAGGCCATATGAAATGGGTATTAAAACATATTCTAAGTTCGACATCAGCTACTTCAACCATTGGCTTATGATTCTATTACTAAAATGGCCTGATTTTAATAATAAACACTAAAAAATCGATTTTGTTGAAGAATTCACTCATTAAAAATTGTTGCTTCGGGCCCCCTCTAGGATTAGGAAACATGAAGCTTAAGTTTCATTAGTTTCATAATCGATACGTCACTGGTTGACGTACAATATTTCACAATAATTCTTTTTTTTTTTCTTTATGACCCGTGTCTTGAGTGTCTATTGGGTCTTAAACTCGACGTAGACCCCCAAGTTGAGCTCGTACGTACAATCCATCGATAAAGATGATGGGAAAATGACCGGTTCCCTGTACCGCTCCAGTAAGTACCTGACTCCTCATGCTATCCTCTTCCTTTACAAGAGCCAAGTCAGGCCTAATATAGAGTACCCCTGCCATATATGGACAGTCTAGATAGAATCTAAAAGCATCTCCATGTCGTTGTGGATGACGATTTGTTTTCTACCAAGCTATCTTTTTCTCACAAACAAAACATCGAAAAGCTTCTGGCTACTCTATTGCTGTTCACATAGAAAGTGCTCAGTCGAAATATATTTGTTAGTTCTGCCAGTTCTAAACTTAGCGGCTATGACCCTGTGGAAAGCAATGTGGACAAACAATGAAAATAGTCTACTTTGCTATTTAACCCATAGTTGGGGGTAAACGAAATCAGAACGATTGTTATGAAAATATTTATAGAAGAGATATAAGGGAAGCTACGCTACGGAGGTGAGAAAACGATTGAAGCCGAGATGCCAGGTCAGGACCGATAACATTGCTTAATGTCTGTTGACATAGCAGAAACAGAAGCACTAGATCACATCTGGCAATTCTGCTATGTTTGTAGAGATACGCAGCCCATAACGTATCTACTTGACCACGATGAACGAATGTTTTCCCTCTGGGAGACCCCGTGCGTTGAGCGCATGTTGGGCCTTAAACTCCACCTAGAACTCAAGCGGAAGTCCTATATAGGATCCATCGTTAAGGATGCTGGAAAAAATGTTCGGTTCGCTGAACCGCTCCAGTAAGTAACGGACTCCACATGCTATCGTTTTTTACAAGGCCCAGATCCTGTCTAAAATGGAATACGGCTACCTTATATGGGTGTCAATGATCAGACAAATTACATTCCTTAGTTGCACCAGTCGAACCTTCATGGCGAAGATTCGGCATGCTACGCACATTATAGCGAAGTGCTGTTCTGTGGAACCGACTCTCAGGAGTGAAGAGTACTCGATTATTTCAATCTTAATCTGTTCCATTCTAGAATTCACTGTTATCTTCCTCCACATATCCGAATAAAATGTGACTTTGACTCTGTAACACATTACTTCGAGTGGTCTCGGGCCTTGTACAGAGTGAACATCATTGTAAAAAAGAAAAGATGAGGAGACGTAAAGAAGAAGAAAAAAAATGCAGACGAATAATAATAATAATAATAATAATAATAATAATAATAATAATAAGGGAAGAAGATGATGGTGAATAGGATGGAGAAGTAGAAATGAAGAAGATGAGGATGAAGAAGAAGGAAAAGGCAGAGGTGAATAATAATAATAATAATAATAATAATAATAAGAAGAAGAGATGATGGTGAATAGGATGGAGAAGAGAAAATGAAGAAGATGAGGATAAAGAAGAAGAAAAGGCAAGGAATAATAGTGAATAATAATAATAATAATAATAATAATAATAATGGGAAGAAGAAGATGATGGT